CTCACCCTTTTCTCTTACACCTTTAGCTGGAGCGTTTTACTGGGAAAGCCTAGGAGAGCCCATCAATGGCATTTAGCTGAGCTGTCTGTATCTCTAGGAAAAGAGCAGCCATCAGCAGCTCTGTAAATGCTTAATGTAATGGGTACAGCTACTAACAGCGTGTGGGGGAGGAGAAGAGTAACTTAAGATGTAGGACCAACTGCAAGGTCTGTTCAGGATCCATGCCAGAGAGCAGCTGGATGAAGCCTGCTTCACTGTAGGTTCGTAGGCAAGTCTGTGATTTTACATAGGAGATTTGTGGGCATTAATACTTCCTCCACACCAGTTGCTCAGTATATCTGATGCTGTAACACGATCTTGCCAGTTTTCTCCTTGGTTAAAACGGCACTGTCAAGGACATTTCCAAGAATATGCTAAGTTAATTGTGAAACCCGCTCAAAAGAGTGAAAATATTGCTTTTCTACAAAGCCATATTCTTCTTACTTTCCTACAGCTACTCTCATCAGCATGACTCTTCCAATAGCAAGTGTGTTTCTAAGTATTTTTTCTTGACAAGATGCACTTACTGGCAAAAACAGTTCACCTGGCACAAGATAGTCACCTTTAAGAGCATGCACAGGTTCCAGTTTAGGTGAAGGAAGAGGTCACAAAAGCAGTGAAGAGAGTCTGTTAAAAAGCTATTGCTGCTCCGCCACACACCATTGACTTTTCCCATCTACTTTCTCTACTTTTAGTAGCAATATTGATAGTATCACTCCCTGTGACTGGCTTTTATGTGTGTGTGTGCATATGTATGTGGTGTTACTTTCTTTTTTTTTTCTTTTTTTTTTTTTTTGTCACAAGCATTATCTACAGAAATAGGTTTCTTTCCACCTTGTTCACTCTTTGAGCTCAGCTTGTTAGTCTGTACCTGGGCTCCAGCTTTTGGATGGATTTGGAGCCTGCTCCATCCCTACATTTAAGTACATTGTTGTAACTGTTTGGTTATCAGACACAAAGGACAGTCCCATAAGTAGCCACACCAGGTCTCCTGCCCTCACTCTCACCTCAGACTCAGTTAAGTTGCTTCCCATCCTCCATAGTTTGCTGTTACCCAAATCCTATGAAAAGACTGAGCTTAGCTCTGTAAGACTTCAAGTCACACCTGATAAATGTACTTAGGAAAATTACAAGCTGTTTAGATAATTTGTTAATGAAGGTCATGTGGGCACATCTGGGACAGCTCGAATAAATACCCTTGACCTCTGTTTTTGTTGGGGGAGCTGAATGTAGCTCCCTGTTCAGGTTTCACTGCAGGAAGCTATGCTATGCTCTATCAAAAGGGCCACAGGCCAAGTGATGGTGCTGCGGTCTCTCACACTGCACTTTCTTTCCCTGTGGCTTAGTGACTCATGCTTCACACTTCCTTTTTATCCCACTTTGCAGCATTACGAAGAACCCTTTTGTAGCATAGGCAAGCATTTAGAAACGCTCGGTTCTGGTAAACAATAAAAAATGATTCTTGCTAGCTATTAAGATGTCAGATTCACAGCTTTTCTGAGGAATGCATATCTTCACTCAAGCACATCTCCTCTCCGTAGCCCACCGCTCACACGTGGGGCCCAACTGTCAGCAACTGTACTCAGCAACACCACTGCTGTACTGAATGCTTCACTAGTCCAGAATCCCTGATGAATGATGGGAATTCGCAATAACTGATTCTTATCATCTGAAGATTTTATGCTCAATGAATTTAATGCTTTTTTTTTTTTTTTTTTTTTTACTTACTTTTATCTGAGAACAAGACTGACTTTTTTTTTGGCATTGCCTTGGTTCATCCTGTTTTAGCTGGCACCTGCTTGCTCATTAGCTCATCTAAGTCTTCAGCTGGTCTACTGACAGTGTGTGTGTTATTGTCTACAATGATGAAATACAAGGAGGAAAACTTGCCAACTTGTTATTAGTAAGTGCCTTAAGATGCCAATGAGTAACACAAGAGTTTGCTGGACATGTAGATCCAAATAGACACTATTAGAATTGAGAGGACAGTCACAAGAAAATATATTTTCTCGTAGGTTAAGAATGTAAGAATGGAGGGAGAACTCCATCTTTTCTTATCACGTATGGACTGGACCTTCATCCCCCATACACACCTTCCAGAACAGTGGGCTCTAAAACTTAGTTCTTCTTGAGTATACTGAAAGACGCAAAGCCATATTTTATGCAAAATAAGTCAGCATCAGAAAGTCAGAGCATAGAACAGTAAAGAATACTAGATCATTATGTCTTGCCAACATTTGTCCACTCAGATTTCCTGTAATGTAACACTAAATCTAGCAACAAAGTACCGGAAAACCTAAGTGCAATTCCTTCATAGGCAATAACCTGCCATTATACCTTGTCTGAATGCTTAGTTTCAGTACTACTTATTGATGTTAACAGGAAGGCTTTATAGTTGTGTAGGCAAACTCAAGCAATTATTGCAGTGAAGAGATATTTCAGCTTCTTCCCTCTTCTTGCCCCAGAGTGAGCCCCCACTGAGTCAGCCCCCACCACAAGAAAGCTTGACCTCATGCAAAAAACTAGACAGCATCAGATGCCTTTTTTCATCTGTAGCTAATGATGCAACTGCGTCATTTGCTAGGGAGTGAAATCCACATTTCTGTACATCTTTTGAAGAGCATGACTGTTTTCCACCACTCAGTTAAGTTCCCTCACTTGTAGATAATGAACTGGTTTTTTTTGTTTGTTTGTTTTTTTTTTTGTTTTTGTTTTGTTTTTAATGACAGAGGTTCTAAGAAGGTAATGGAAAGAAAATAAATGAAAGCCAACATCTTTTTGCATTCAGAAGAACCTGTGAGAGGTCCAGGTAAAACCAGCATTGAATCCACTCACCCCCGCTTCCCTTAGGGGACCCACTTCTACTGGTGGCATTGACATCAGCACAGAGCAACTAACCTATTTCCCAGTTGTCTCAATAGTTGAGAAACTGCTGGATAGATGCACAGATTCTTCTAGCTTAGGTTAGTTCATGGTTATGTGCTTTACCAGCCCTTTTATATTCCTCTTATTTCTTCACTGAGATCTGGGTTGGTCCCCTTATATGGCCCTTAGGGTCAGTGCTGCATTTTCTTCTCAAGGAATACTCATACATTATTTGGAGTTCCAGTGTATAATGGAACAGAGCTTTCTGGCACAGCAACAAATAAATAAATAAAAATAAAATAATTTTTAAAAGAACAGTTCAGGTGCTGTTTCTTTTTCACAAACACTATTTTCTTTTTTCGTGATAGTTTTAAGAGCAATAAGCAAAAAATGAACTCAAGCCCTACTAACATAACTGTATTGCTACCAGTTGCCCCTGCTTAGGTTTGGTACTTGCCTTTTCAGTGCCTACATGAAACAGATAACAATGCAGTTTTATTGTTCCAGTTGTACTCAACACAAGTTGACCTTGTCAAGGGAGCTGGGCAGTGCTATATTGTGTATTTATAAAAAAAAAATAAGAAAGAAGTCTTGCATCTCCAACATCAGGTAGCAGTAGTGATCTTTCCTCCTCCCCACAACAATCTCAAGGCTTGGAGAAGGATTGGAGCATCCAAGAAGTCCAGCACATTCCCAGACAGTGCAATACATCACCAGCTCACTGCCTTTTATCTCCTCGGTCAGTGGCCACTCTCTATACTTCTTCTGTAGATGTGTCACCTAAGGACCATATCCATACCAGAGATTTGAAATAACAATAATAATATAATAATCCAACCATGCCTTTTGAGTCTGATTTCTTAGTGAACTGCCAGGCCTGCTCCAACCTCCAAGAAAGAAAATCTCACTATTTGCATTGTGTTCAGCCAAGTTTAATCCTATTATTTCCTATAGTATGACAGATTTACCCCTACCAGACTTACTGTCTCATAAAAAAAAAAAAAAGCTAGAGACCAGCCTTGCTCCCTTATTTCTTTCTTCCTTCCTCTCATTCAACCAGTTTCACCACCCAACCTGGCAGCGATTACATAAAACTTTCCACTTCTAACTCCTCCGTTACATCCTGGTATTTTTTTCAGATTTTACTGAAAAATCTGACATATGTCAGTGGCAATCTGTGCTGGCTCATGGGATGTTTAAAACCCTGTTACAGCAGGCTATCCAGGCAATGGCTCACACAGTGGCTCAGAGTATATGGAGGCAGTCACTGTTTAATAGCTTCTGTTTCCTTAGCAAGAACCAGACTTGTGGATAAAGAATTCTGTTCAGCACATTAAGAGAGAGATAGTAACTTCATTACTGTAATATTGGAAGTTTTTTGGGTGTAATATTTATGATTAATTAAGAAATGATCCCATTTTTTTCCTGAAAGAACCAGAGTAATGATTTTCTGAAGATACCTATCTTAGTTAGAAATTAATATGATCTACAACATGACTAAGTACTAGCAGAATAAAAATAATTATAAGCATTTGGTGCTTTAGCATTAAAAGATATGAGCTTGCTGCCATCTGTGTCCTATTTGGAGCCTCAGCATCTTTTAATCCTGAAGGAGGACTAGCATTACTAAGTAAGTAAACAAGCATTACAGGAAATGGGAGAAGGGAAGAAATGAGAGCCATCCTTATGATGGCAAAACAAAAAGTCACATGTTACAACTGTCATCACAGTGCCCTAAAGCCCCCACCCTGAGCAGGCTGATTGGATGGTTTATTGTCCTGCTATCTCACAAAAAGTATTAGCAGGATCTGAAGGGCTGGCTTATTTGCCTATGCTTTTTAGTTTCTATATGTGCGTTTTTAGACTCTGTACACTTTGTCGCTTCTCAAAACATCCACATTCTAAAAGCAAACAGCAAGTAATGAGCAGGGCTTTTAACCCAACAGCTATGGGCTGAAGGTTTGGCTCAGTGCTCAAGCGCCTTGGTGTAACGCCCTGACTCAAGTGCTAATCAAGCACATGAGCATCATAAAACAGGCAGGAGCATTTCAGGGTTCAAAAGCAAGGCAGTTCCTGCAGTGTAATGAGTTACTTACCGTGTGTCAGTGGAGCCAGATGCTCTTGGCCTGTCCCGTGTTTGAGGAAAAATGTGTTCATTGACATGTCAGCAAAAAAAAAAAAAAAGATTTAAGATAATGCATTTTTGCCATGTGTTTGTGAGGGTCTGGAAGTACACGTGTGGTTGAGCCCCCAGCCTCAATGAACACACAGCGGCTCTTTACCCAACAGTAACGTGATTATCTGCCTGAACCCTGGGCTGAACCGCAGCAGTCAGCTCAGCCTGGAATTCAGCAAGAGGCAGGAGGCTGTCAGGGCGTCTGTAAATTTAACTTCTTACATTGCAAGTGAGAAACACTATTCTACTGAGGATTTACAGAGTCACAGCGTCAGCACTTTGGTTAAGAAAGGCATGTTGTCTCTTCAGGGAGAGCTGAGAATTTCCAATTTCACATTTAGTAAGTAGAAAGCATTCTGTGCGTAGGTGCTGATGTGTTGTGTTCCTGGCTGCACACAGAGCTGGTAGGTATGTTCTAACACAGTAAGCAAAAGTAGCAAGCTGCTCTCTAAATATTCTGAATCCCACGAAACAGCTGATTCACGACTCCGAGGCCCAGTGCATATTCTTGATCAGCAACCGAGTCACTCTGAAATCCTGGATCAGCAAGAAGTGAAATAGTGTGGCTCTGATCCAAGAAAGTGTGTGTGCATGTGGCTGCTCAAGGTCAGGGAGCTGTTTGGATGCTTGAGGTATGTGCTCTGCTGTATTTAGCACTTTGTGGGTTGGAACACTGAGATAACAATAAGAAAAAAATCACTCATGAAGTAGGGTTGCCAAGAAGGGGTTGGGCTACAAGATCTCGTACCTCTTCTAAAACTATGAAAATAGTGCTGCTAAAGTTTTAATCAGTGTCTGCATTGGGAAATTGTGTATTTCGTACACATCCCCTCAAAACCAGGCAAACAACCAACCAACCATTATCAGCTGTTTCCTGACCCCTTCATACACAAACCTTGAATCTGTAAAACCTCTGTACGGTGAAAACAGCCTCTTTGTTCAGACAGCATTGTCAGAAGGTAAGAAGCCAAAGAGAAAAAAATCATCCAAGAGTCCCAAAGCCCTTTAAGAAAACTGATGGTGGTGATGGTGCTGGTGACACCGGCAAGTTGGTGATGTGTGCAGGTAATCCAAGTTCTTCCATAAGATTTTAACTCACTTATTTGTGGAGCAAATAAGGCTCAGCCCAAATGGGGCAAGAATACTCCACTGTGGGGGCAGAGCAGAGCGAGGGGTCCAAAGAAAAGAAATTCACAATACCTCTAAGTAGCAACAAATCCAAATTGCTCTAGCACAACCAAAATTGCTACAGCTGTCTCAGGTTGTGGCCACTGGATGTCACTACTGATCCATTTCAGGGTACCAGCAGATTTTTACGAGAGCAAAACAAAAACCATCTTAATTGGAGAGAATGAAATACTACTTTAGATATTAATATTGTTCATGAGAACTTGTTAGCTCATTTTATTAAGTCAGCATAGCAAGCCTGTCACCATGTATACGAATGCAGGGCAGCATACACACGAGTGTTTGTCTTGCATTGCCAACTTTTCGCAGGGGAAGAGACCTTGGCATTGAAAGGAAGAAACTTTTTTGGGGCAATGACATCACATAAATGTCAGCATGGAAACACCAAGGCCAGTATGGAGCAAGAGCATGTCCAGGATCATGGGCTGGGGGACCTCAGGTGGGAGCTAAGGACCATCTGATCATTACCCCATCTTTCTGCACTAAAAAACAATCCAGATCTACACTCTTGGGGAAGAGATATTTATCCTACATATTATAAATTTTTAAAAGCAGTAGAAAGAAAGCTCACTAAAGATTGATTCTCTGTAGAGCACCTCTATCATGCTGGACAATTGCATAGATATGGAGGGAGAGGAAGGTCTGCTTTGGTACACTTGCAGTAAGGAGGTAACTGAGATGGAGGATGAAAAGATCTTTATCTGTGATATTTTTGCTCTGCTGGCATCCCCACAGACAAGAAGGGAGGTGATCTGATAGGAATAGAAGAAATGAGGCACCAGGGAGGGAAAAAAAAGAAAAAAAAGAAAAAAAAGAAAAAAAAAAAAAAAAAAGGAGGGGGACTATTTATCTATTTTTAAGAAAGAAAATCTTAGAGAAATCATATATACTCAGTAGAGACTTGTAGAAATTAACAATTGGACTCATCCAAGATTTATCCCCTATGGGCAAGCAGAGGTCCCCAGGTTATTTATATGCCAGCCTAAATTTTTTGGAGTAATTTTTGGAGTGTTTTGAACCAGTTTGGGGTGAGTGATGTTCAGGGCAGCCCAGTTGTTTTCAGCAGCAGAGCTTTGGGTTCTTGAACTCCACTGCAGGCTCTGGAGAAGCAAAGCATGGCCTTAGAGCATCCTGACCCAGCCCAGGAGACCAGACTGGTGTGGATTACATCAGCTTGATGAACTGCTTGATATACCTGGATAAATATAGTGGTGATGAGCTCTCAACTATCTAACAGAGCTGAGGATCTAACAGGACTGAGCAGAGGCTCTTTGCATCACCAGGCTCAGCAGCAGCCTCACAGCCCACTGAGCTCATTGGAAACCTGAGAAACTCATCTGATTTCTGCTTGGAAGTTCATTTTGATTTAATCAGTCTGGCATTTTGCCAGTGGAAAATTTTTCCACTCTGAAATTTGCAGGCTAGTTTTAGTGAAAGCTAATGGACAACACAAGGAGGTCTTCTGCACAGCTCCTTTTTGCCTTCTCTTTGCTTACATGCAGAACCATATTAATACCATGAGGAAATGACATTACATGCAGAGATATATTGGTGTCATGCACAAGACAGGTACTTCAGTTACTCAGATGAATTTGCTCAGGAAAGAGTCATATGGGATCTGTCCCATGTTCAGCCTGATCTACTGGTTGATAATTTTGCCCAAGGCAGTGGATTGGAGCTCAATGATCATTAAGGTCCTTTCCAATCAAAGCCATTCTATGATTCTACCATTCCATAAGGTAGAAAAGATGAAGGGAAAAAAAAAAACCAAAAAACAAAAAACCAGAAAACCCAGAACATGCAATGACCAGACCTGCACCATTTGGTCATTGTGTCTTCTCTATGCCTGAGAAAGCTACTGCACTTCTGTCCCGCTGCATGCAGTGGCTGTAGGTGCTGGAAGCTTTTTAATAGAGAAGTAAACAATGTAAGTGAATGGATGCTGGAACCACAGCCAGCAGCCCTTATGCTGTGCCAACACATCCTTCAGCTCTGCAAGTAGTCCCATTGGTTTCAATAGGATTACTTGCAGGGTAAAGCCACTCAGCCTGAGGCAGGGAATCTGATCCCTTGTTTTCAGCTGAAGATGTAAACTCTGGGACAAAGATCATTTCGATTTCACAGAGGCTCAGCCTGGCTTTCGCTCAAGCTAGGGGAAAAGGTGACCCTTCTGTAAAGCAATATATTGCCAGAAAGCCATTTATCAGTCTAAAAAGGAGATTTAATATCAAGCTTAAAGTCATATTTCATAAGCTTCATTTCAAAAATCACACTATAGATTAGTAAAGACAAACATTCCTAGCAGGAAAGCAAAGAGACAGAACTGGCCAGAGCTCTCCACAAGGCGTTGGCAGGACCTCCCGAACCTTAAGCATCAGCTGCACGCTCCCCTCCTCTTCTGGAAGCATTGCTTTGTCCCATGGAAACTTGAGTACGTAAGATAAAATGTAAGAAACTCTCACCAGCTCTTTTTATGAGCGTTGTAAGAGATGCCAGATGATTATCTGAGGCCTTCCCAACAAACCCGCAGCTACAGGGGGAACACAGGGAGGCTGGCAAGATAGGGAAATCCTGTAGCCAAAAAACTCTTGGAGAGAGCAATTTCTCCTCCCCCTTGTAGAGACCACACTTAAATATTTGCGGTATCATAAATATGCTCTTCTAGTGTGCACTAATAGGTCTCTGGAACACATCTGGTGTTGGTGGCTCCGGACTGGCTTGGAGCAAGGTAAGGAGTGTCCATGCATGTACTGAGGGTGTGGGGCTCAGTGCTGCCTGGTTGGATCTCATTCTGCTGCCTGGGGTTACAAAGTGCAGTTTTCTATCACTAACCTTGATTACTATAGATAAAGTGTAATATATGGGGAGGATAAGCTGCTACCATAGGGATAAAACAAAACAGATTGCTAGATGCTGATAGGTTGTATGGCCACTTACACATGCACAAAATTGATAGAATATATTCTCAAAATCGATGATAAAAATGTAACTGGTAATGCTCTGCTTTCTCTCAAAATGCAGTGATTTTATTCTAACAGCATCCCATGATGAACAGCAGCATGAAGTCTTAGCTCCCTTCTTCCCCTTTTTTATTCAGTTTCTTTCTATGGAGAAGGGGACTTTGTTTCCCCATGCACTCACTCTCTCTTGTGCTGATTGTGGCTTTAGAGAAGTGCCTTCAGTCCCAAAAGCTGAGGTCCTTCCCTTGGAAGAAAAATAAAGTGAAAGGTGTGATGGGTTTTCCCTGTGCAGGTGCAGTGTAGGAAGATTTTAATGACTTCCTTCTTGTCAAAAGCGTAAGTGGATTGCTGTGCCCCGAGTGTGAGAGCAGAAGTGATTTCTTCTCAGGTGTTAGGAGGTAGGAAAGAGAATTGCAATAACCACCTACCTCATCAGCGAGGACACTGAGATGTGGGATCTGTGACCAAGCAAAAGTGAACCTGAGTCACAGGAACACTTTGTGTTTATAGGGCAGCTTTTATCAGAGAATGTTTTACTGACTCAGAGAGGCAGAGATAAAGACACAAACTGACACCATGTCCGACTTCCCCCAGTGACATCACAGAGCCGAAGTTAGGGTTTGGCCCCACATGCTGGGCTTCCACATCTGTTCCCTCACAAAGGGAGATTGAGCTCCACTGAATAGATGGTAACTGATGCACAGAGATCATGGGGACTTTGTCCAAAGTCAGAAATTGAGCATATTAATGAAAAAGGACCCAAGAGCTTTGACTTTGCATTCTAACCCTAAGAAAAACTTAATTTGGCACAAGCAGCTGCACGATCTTAGGGCTTCTGCACGAGCAGGGAGTAGTTTGCTTAATGAAATAATATCCCAGGCACACACAAAGAGCAATTACTTGCTCTCCTATAAACCCTCATGTATTCATCTAGAAAAAATGCTCATGACTCAGTCATCTGGGATGGTTCAAGCTGCTCACCCTGCAGCGGGAGGCGTAGGCATGGCAATGGTGAAGTTAAAAAGGAAGACACATGACCTCAATTACTCACAGGGAGTCAAATTATGATCTCAGATACAGCAGTATAAATCCAGAGTCATTCCCCCTGAAGTAATTGGCATGATACCGTATTTCTGTAACATACGGGAAATCAGAAATGTGGTCTACAATCTCGATATGTCTGTGGAGCTTTATGCAGAGAGGCTGTGCTCTCCAGCAATGCGTTATTAGTTATGGAGGAGAAAAAAGTTGGAAAACGTACAAGGTAGGAAAATATAGCGAGTTTCCCTGTAGCAAGAGCAACAATTTATTACCTAGTTTTGACAGCATACTAAATAGTGATTTTGCTTCTTTTTTTAAAATCAGGTTTTCTCCACTTTTTGTAAACAGAGTAAGTAACTGCTCTACAGAAAAACTTCATGAGGGAATATCTGGTTGAAATCTT